GCAGACCGCAGCCCCCCCGCCCGCCGCCCCCCGGCGCCCCCACCGCGACCGCCCAACCCACCTGAAGGGGCCGCGGCTGCCAGGGTTGCCCCCTCCTGCCGACTCCCCCACACCTGCGGGCGCACTATTTATAACTCGGCGCCTATTCCGGGCCTCTGGGCGGGAGCCGGCTGCGCCTCGGCGCTAATCGTCTCCGGGATCTCTGCGCCCCCCAGGGCCGGGGGGGATAAATTTAGCCTCAGGAAGCTCGGGGAACATTTTCCAAAACTCCACGTCCCGGAGAAGGCGAAACAGCTCCCCTCTGCCCTCGGCCTCCCTCCGGCCCGCCGCCAGGCGGCGCAGGTGTCTCGGCTGTCCCAGCCCAGCTGGGCTTCGGCAGGCTGGTGCCGCCGAGCCGCTGGCACAGGTGAGGGACGGCGGGTCCGGGGGCGCGGCCAGAGGGGCGGGAGGACGGCCGGAAGGACGGCCAGAGTGGCTGAGAAAGGGGTTGGGGACTTCTGCCTTTCGAAGGGGAAATAACTCCTGTGCAAACGAGATGCAAATAGGGACGGCGAGAAGAGCTGGGTGGCCTTGGGGTCTGCGCCCCGGCGCGAGGGCAGCGACTGCCGCACCCCTCTTCCCGCCCGCTTCTGAGCGTTACGGGGGAGACGGAGGACCCCACCAAGATCTTTCCTAAAATGTCCAGATCAGTGCGCGTGGCTCTTCCGGCCGCTCCGCCAGGACCCCTCTCCTCCATCTGCCTCTCGCACGCCTTGGAGGGTCTTCTATGTGACGTGATCAGCTAGGAATCCTGGGAATCGGGGTGCTCTTCCTTAGGGCTGTAGCATCTGGGGGCGCTTCCAGCCTTGCGGAGGCTCCTTCCCGGTTTTACCCCGCCCATTCCCCTACCCCTTGTGGCCACTAGAGGGCGCCCGGGCGCCCCGGGGGCAAATGAGCTCTTCCCCAGGACTCAATCCCCGCAATCAGCTCCCCTCTTCCGGGAGCTCTGGGGCGCGGTCTGGGCCCTCCAAACCCGAGCTCACCCCTGCTGGGAAAAGCACATTGCCGGGGAAATCCCCACATCTCTTTTTCCTTTGGAGAGCACTGCAGAGGTGTAGACCGGAACCGTGTCCTGGCCTGTGTGGTCTGGGTGAACAAGACATAGCTGGGGCCCCCAAAGGAGCCGGGGAAGCAAGAGCAAGGGCAGCTGAGAGTGGGGGTGGGGTGGGAAGCAGGAGTGGGCGCAGAATGGGCCCGCGAGTCCTCCCCACGCCTTTGCCGGCGCGGCCGCCTCCAGGCCACCATCCGAAGCGCCCCGTCAGAAGAGGAAGGCTGGGCGCCCCGAGGAGCCCTGAGTTTGAGAGAAGGACACTGGGGGGTTGCGAGCTGACTGCCGCACCGCCCTGTGCCGTGGGTCTGGCTTCCGGTGGGTCACGTCGCCTCTCTTGGCCTGGTTCTTCAGGCCGACCTGGGATAATTGCCCTCGTCCAGCCTGCTTTTGTTTTTTGTTTTTTTTTAATATTTTTATTTATTTCTAGGAGAGAAAGAGAGACAGCGTGAGCAGGGGAGGGTCAGAGAGAGAGGGAGTCACAGAATCTGAAACAGGCTCCAGGCTCTGAGCTGGCAGTCAGCACAGAGCCCGACGCGGGGCTCGAACCCACGAACCGCGAGATCATGACCTAAGCGAAAGTCGGACGCTTAACCGACTAAGCCACCCAGGTGCCCCTCGTCCAGCCTGCTTTTGAAGTGGGCTTGTGCAAGGGCCCAACGTGAAAAGGGTTCTCAGGACCGTATGCGCGGTTTCCTCCCCATTCCTCTCCCAGCTTCAGGGCTCTCTTGACCTCTGACACTGCCCCTCGGGCCACCCGCAGTCTCTCCTCTTCTCCCTTTGCACTTCCTGGGCCCTGCCCCCATCCACCTACCGCTCCCCCGCCCCCCAGTGGTCTCCCCAGACACCCTCTCCCCGGTCAAGGGCCCTTGTGCTCAGGACTGTCCTCCCTCAAGTGGGAGTGGGGCCTAAGGAAGGAAAGGGAAAGGGGCGCCTGGGAAGCTCAGTCAGTTAAAGGTCCCAGTTCTGCGCAGAGCATGACCTCAGGGGTCGTGGGGTTCAAGCCCCGCACTGGGCTCTGTGCTGACAGCTCAGAGCTAGGAGCCTGCTTCTGATTCTGTGTCTCCCTCTCTGTCACTCCCCTGCTCACACTCTCTCTCTCTTTCTCAAAAAATAAATAAACGTGAAAAACAGTTTTTTTCCCCTCCTAAATATAAAAGTAAAACATGCTAGGGACACCTGGGGGCTCAGTTGGTTAAGCATCTGACTCCAGCTCAGGTCGTGATCTCATGCTTCCGGAGTTCGATCTCGCGTCGGACTCTGTGCCGACAGCTCGGAGCCTGGAGCTACTTTGGATTCTGTGTCTCCCTCTCTGCCCCTCCCCTGCTCAAGCTCTGTTTCACTCTGTCTCTCTCTCTCTCTCTCTCTCTCTCAAAAACAAACAAACAAACAAATATTAGAGAAAAATAAAGAAGAAAGGAAAGGGAGGCAGAAGGCCAGAGCTCGAGTCAGGGACGGGCTGACCAAGCAGGGGTTCAGGGTTTGAGGGGAGGCAGGAGCCCCACACTCCCACAGGAAGGGGAATTCTGTGTCCTCCACCGCTGTCCTCTCTCTGGTTGGATTCAAGACCTTACCCCTTCCCACTGCTGTGCCCCGGAGGAAGGGGAGCTCTGAAGGGACCCGGGAGTGCTGGCCTGTCTGCCACGCTGCCGGGATAAGAGCTAACCTTGGGCGGGAGCACTATGGAGCCCCAGCTCCCGCAGGAGAGGGGCAGCCTCCACGCGCTCCTGCGCGCTCATGTCCGGGGCATGTCGAAGGAGAAAAGCCAGGGGCACAGCCGCGTGGTGAGCATGGCACCAGCTCAGAAAGTACCCATGGGCTTGGGGTGCCCAGCTGACTCGGTCTGCAGAGCATGTGATTCCCAGTCTCAGGGGTGTGAGTTCAAGCCCCATGTTGGGCGCAGAGATTACTGAAAAATATATAAAAATTTAAAAAAATATGTATGTGCTCAGGCCGGCCGCTTCTCCCCGCTGCCGTAGCTATGAAGCCTGCTTGGGGCCACTGGCCCGTCAGGCCCCATGCCCACCCCGGCTCAGGGCACATATCCCCTAATAATATCTATATACCTACTGTTCAGTTTACATTTGCTTTTCCGTCTCTGCCCAGCAGAACGTACGCCCCGGGAGCCCAGGGGCCTGTTTTGTTCACCGCAGTGTTCAGAGCACGGGGGCCGGCACGCAGGGGTGCTCCCTGACATGTGCTCCGTGAACGAAGGAAGGTGAGGCGTGTGCGCACTCTCTCTGCCTGCCCTCCAAGGGGCTGCTGGAGCTGACTGACCCCAGGGAGGGGGGCGGGGGGGCGCTCACTTCTCACCAGAACTCCTTACTCCGGGTATAGTTGCCTTTACAAACAAACAAAACACCCAGAGGAGAGGAGTTTGCTAACAAGTCTGGGGAGAAGCTGGTCCCCGCGAGTGCGAGCCCCATACACGTCTCCAGGCTTGTGCCCGGGAGAGAAGGGAGGGGGCAACAGCGGCCCGAGAGGCCCCGAGAGGCCCGGGGCTCTGTGGTTGTGGGGGGCTGAGAGTGGGCGTGTCAGGAAGTAGGAGAGCAAGACCGTGCAAATGGCTGATGTGTGCCTACCGCGGGGCGTGACTGGGGCGGCTGTGCTGGCGGCTGCCAAGGGGAAGTGCAGAGTGAGCTCCGCACGGTGACAAGCCCGAGGAACTTGCGTGGCCACACAGGTGCCTTTCTCTGACAGCGCTGTACTTGAGCGGGAGGCGCAGGGCCTGGCTTCCCTGGGAGCTGGGGGCTAGACCAGGCTCTCCCACGATCCTCAGAGGCAGGGAGGGGCCAGACCATGTCTTCTATTTGCGCTGCGCCTTGGAGAAGACCCCACCCAAGCCGGACCCCTCCCTACCCACTAGCTGGGAGGAACCTGGGCTTTCCACCCTCCTCCACCCTCCCCACCCAGGACCAGTGAGTCGGAAAACCTGGGTTTCAGTCTCGGTTCTACCCAGGACAACCTCCTTCCCTCCCTTTTTAAAAAATGATTTTTTGGTAATGTTTATTTTTGAGACTGAGAGAGACAGAGCGTGAGCGGGGGAGGGGCAGAGAGATGGGGAGACGCAGAATCCAAAGCAGGCTCCAGGCTCTGAGCTGTCAGCACAGAGCCCGATGCGGGGCTCGAACCCACAAACTGAGATCATGACCTGAGCCGAAGTCGGATGCTCAATGCCCAACAGGCCGAGCGGCCCTGGCGCCCGCCTCCTTCCCTCCCCTGGTCTGTACCCTGGCTCCAAGACCTTTCCAGTGCTGAGTTCAGATTCCTTTTCAGACATTTAGAACTTTTGGCCTCAAGCCCTATTTATTTTATATAGAACATCTATATCCTTATTTTTTTGGTTTACATTTGCTTTTACGTCTCTGCCCACCAGAACGTAAGCCCCGGGAGCACAGGGCCTGTTTTGTTCACCGCCGTGTTCAGAGCACGGGGGCCGGCGCGCAGCGGATGGTGTAGAGATATATATGCACACACATGCACGCACACACAGCCTAGTGATTCTCAGAGATGAGGGGCAGCCCATTCCTGGCACTAGGAGTACAAACCAACCATCTGGGCCCGGGGGGTCGCTGTGCCGGGCCTGCCCCAGTCATAGTGGGGTCCCGGTCAGCAGGCCAGGCTCCTGAGTCCCGGAAGTCCAGCAGAGGTGGGGGCTGGGAGCGGAGGCTGGCAGATGGCACAAACTCAAAGCAGGGTCCACACGTCCCCCGTTGTTTGTGGTTTGTGGCCCGTCGTCAGTGGAGCACCGCCGCTGGCCTGGGGTGGAGGTGGGGGACTCCGTGGGGGCTGGGCCAGGCGCTGGGGGAGAGAACAGAGGCTGGGAGGCAGGTCTCCCCACCCTGCCCACCTGAGGACTCTGCCCACCCGGGAGGCGCAGGGCCGAGGCTCGGCGGGCTGCCCACCTGGGAGGGGCGGGGGGCGGGCGGTCCCGGCTGCATCAGTCCAGCAGCTCCTTGATGCACCAGCAGCACAGGAGGATGTAGGCCACCTCCTTCAGCATCTGCTGCAGGCCCTCCCATCCTGTGCCCATCTTCAGGACTGGCGCCCGGAGCCTGGTGCCCCACAGGGCCCTTCTGAAGGAGAAAGGCAGGGCCTGGGCGAGGGGCTGTGTCCAGGGCTGCATCTGGGCCGCGGCTCTGAGGCCCGCAGAGCCATCTCCAGGGCCTTTTAACAGCAGCGTCCCCGCCCCCTCGGACCTCATGACACTGGGGACAAAAGCCCTAGGGTCCAGCACAGGGAAGGTTCCAGGCCCAAGAACGGGCTGAGTCAGCCTCCATGGGCAGGGGCGGAGGCTGCGTTAGGAGGGGGAGGGCCTGGCCACCCCGTCTTCCATCCTCCCCAGCCAGGCCAGCTCAGCTTCCCTTCTCCAGCCTGGCTCTCGAAACCTCGGCGCCGTGCCCGGTGTACCGCCCCCCCTCCGGCCCCGGGATTGGCGCAGCTCCTCGCCCCTGCCCTCTGGTGGGCTCTGGCCGAGAGTGTGTTCTGTACACCTCCCCCCGCCCCTTAGCCGGGAGCTGGCAGAGCCCGGCCCACGTGTACAGCACCCCGTCCCCTGGAGCAGAAGACACAGGCAGAGCACCAAGCACACAAGAGGCAGTTTATTGCGAGTGGACCCCCGGGGCGGCCTCCCTCGGGCTCCCCGGGTCACGTGCGCGAGTTCCGCTCCTCTTCCTCGTTCTCCAGCAGGTAGGCCGGGCGGTAGGTGGGCTGGCCCCCGGGGCTGAGGCACTTCAGGGCCGGGTTCCTCACGGTGTTCTCGCGGCCGCCCAGCGACGTGTAGCTGGGGCAGGGGGGAAGGTGGGCGAGTGGGGGGCGGCCCCCCCACCGCAGCGCCCCTGCACGGTCCCCACACCGTCCTCCGCCAGCACCCTTACCCTCGGTCATACAGGACACAGTACGGGACGAACAGCCGCCGCAGGAAGTCCCAGATATCTCTGTAGGTCCAGTCCTGGGATGCCAGAGGGGGGTCACAAAGTCCCCCTCCCACACCGCCGCCTGGGCAGGCGCCCACCCGAGGGTGGCCTCCTGTCAGACACTCGGGTCCACCTGCTCGGCGGAGCAAGCCACGCAATGTGGTCAAAAACCTCTGCCCCCCCCCCCCGCAGGGGCCCCGGGCTCCAGGGGGTGTCACGTGGCTGGCGCTGGGAATGGGGTTAGTGCCTCTGATGCCCTGAAGTTTGAATTGTATTTAGTTTTTAAAATTAAGGCAAACTCGCATCCCCATGGAATTCGCCACACTTTGCGTGCACCGTTCAGTGGTCTGGGGTAATTCTTTTTTTCCTTTAGTCAAGTTGTAATTTGACTATAAACAACCGGCTCGGGGCTGCCCTAGGGGCGGCACGGGCCTGACTGTAGAAGAAGGCATAAGCCTGGCGCTAAGTTAGTGCACGGTGAAGAGCGGGCAGAAGGCCGAACGGCCAAGCAGCACAGCCTCCCTGGATGCCCGAGTCCTTGTGTGAACCCAGGCTCCAGCCTCTCCCTCGCGGGGAAGCCCGGGCACGATGAGCGCCAGGCGCCAGGAGACCGGAGGCACGACGGCCCCTGCCATTACCAGCAGCGGGTTGACGCGCATGAAGGCGGGCCAGCCAGGGTCCGTGGGGCTGAAGGGGCAGAGGCTGCGGGAGTAGGGGTCGGTGCGGCGGGTGCCCATCAGGACGGCCTCCAGCTGGGGGTGCCGGGCCTGCAGCTCGCTCAGGGCCTGCTTCATGTCACCCTCGGCCTCCAGGACCCGCAAGTTATACCTGCGGAGGGTCGGGCTGGGGTCAGGCGCGGGCACTGCTGAGCCCCCCGCGGAGCCCAGACTTCCGGGCGCCGCCGGTACCTCCTGACGGTGTCCTGTAGAAACTGCTCCAGCTCCGGGAAGGGGGAGGTGCTGCGGATATGCAGGATCTGGAGGGGTTCCTGAGGATCGGGGCGCGTCCTGGGGGGGCGGGGCGCACAGGCTTGCCAGGCCCAGAAAGGCTCTCCAGAGAGTCCCAGGGCTGTTCTCTTTGCTTCCACATGGACAACACCCGCCCCTCCTCTCCGGCCCAGGGCCACACAGATGTCCGATGCTCAGTAAATGGGTGGGGTCACCACGGCTCCCTCCCTCCCAAAGGGCACTTGGCCACCCTCGCCCTCCCTGCTTCCTAGGACGAGGCAGGTGGCACCCTGGCCCAGGCGGGGGCTCACCTCTGCACAGCCGCGTGGAAGAGGTGCAGGAGGGCCGTGCAGTCCTTGCCGCCATTGAAGCCCACGCAGAGGTGGCTGAGGTCGTACTGAGCCAGGGCGGTTTCAATGATCTGCAGGGCGCCTGCCACCTTCCCCCCCAGAGAAGAGCCTGCAAGTGGACAGACAGGAAGATACGTCCGCGTGGCAGTGGGGGGCAGTGGGGTCCCGCCGCCCTGGCCTGAAGTCTCTCCAGGCTTCCCAGGGTTCCCAGAGGGAAGGCCACGGGCTGCTCGCCCTTCTGAGTCCGTCCCCGCCCTGCCTGCCCTTCAGAACCCTACGCCTCAATGTCTTCCCTCCGGGGCCCCTGCTTTCCTTCCGTTCCCCCAAACCCCACAGTTTGCTCTAGCCCACCTCCGGGGGCGGGGGGCATCCTCCTCATCAGCCCACTCGTGCGTCCTCGCCCAGCAGACGGTGTATAACACACATGCGCCCGGATCAAGGTGAACTCCCCACCGTGGAGGCCGCCCGGCCACACATCTCATGCCTGAGTCCCTGCCTGACGCCTACCTTTCTGGTTACGCCTCCGGCCCAGAGGCCGTGGCGTGCACCACTGTCCTGTGGAGCTGGGTCCCCAGTACCCAGCACAGTGCTGGCGGGAGCGGGTGCTACGTTGACATTTACTGGGAGGACGCCGGACTGCACCGAGTCCCTTCCCGGGGCCTGGGGGGGAGGGTGGGCTCGGGCAGCCCGGCCCCCGGGAGGCCCTACCTGCTTCTGCGAGTTGGTAAACAGCCTCCCTGGCCTGCTCCACGGCGCCGGGCACGTAGGGGACCAGCGATCCTGGGGGCAGGCGGGCAGTCAGGTAGGCCAGGCACTCCTCCAGCGGCCCCTCTTCCTCCGCGTCCAGCGTCAGCTTCACCTGATAGTAGTTGCTGCCCCAGTCGGGGTAGGAGCCCAGGCCGAGCCTGCGCCCAAAGTGGGCCTGCGCCTCGGCCAGGACGGGCGCGATAGAGGCCTCGTTGGCGGCCACGTACAGCTCTCGCAGGTGGAACTGCGCCGCTGTGTTTCGGAAGAGCCCCTTGAGCCCCTCCAGCACCCGGCGCAGCAGCTCGGGGATGCCTGGGAACAGGTAGACGTTCCGGACAGAGACCAGCGGGAACTTGAAGGGCCGGCCTGTGCGGGGGTCGGTGCCGTAATGCAGGCGGGCCGAGGAGGGCACTACCGACAGCTTCTCCCAGCCCTTCCCTCCGAGGCCGCGGACGGCTGCTTCCAGCTCGGGGTGCGGCTTGAGCTCATCCCCAAAGGCCTGTGCTACTGCCTCAAAGGTCACGTCGTCGTGAGTGGGGCCGATGCCCCCTGCCGTGAGGACGTGGGTGAAGCGGCTGGAGAAAGAAGCGACCTCTGCCGCGATGGTGGCCACCTCGTCGGGTACGACAGAGACCCGGCACACCCGGACCCCCAGGGAGCGCAGCGTCCGGCACAAGAAGTAGGTGTTGGTGTCCTGAGTGTGTCCCTGGGGGATGAGACGGGGACGACGCGAGTGTCAGTGCTGCGGGACTCGACGGCAAAGGGGAAGGGTCGGCAGCTGTGGGCCGCACTGTGCTCTTTTGGGGGACTTGGCCTTAAAGCCCGGACCGGGCACAGGAGTGAGGAAGTCCAGGTGAGCAGCCAGGGACAGCACGATCCACCTTGGGCCTCCTTCTCTGCGCTTTGACCTTAACCTCATCTGTGCGTACGGACTCAGTGGCCAGTTCTATGGGGACGACTCATCCACTTCCTGCCCGACCCTGACGGTTTCAGTCCCCTGGCTGCTCTGCGTACCTACCCGGCGCCTCAACTGTATTCCTGGCCATTGTCACTTCGGCCAGTGGCATCCCCAGACACCGTCCACAGCCAGTGAGGCCCTTCTGCTGGTGGCCCTAGCAAAATGTCTCCCCATTTGCTCTCTTCTCTTGGTCCCTAATGCCACCGGGCAGGTCCTTGGCAGCCACCGTCTGGCCGGTGGCGAGGCCCCCTGGCCGGGCTCCCGGCCGCCAGCCACAGCGCTCTGCCCGGTGCCTCCTGACTAACCTTTCTAGTGCGTTACTGTGATTGCATCACTCTTGGGCTCAAAAACCCTGTGTTGTTTCCAACCGTATACAGAATAAAGTTCAAATTCCTTTGCAAGAACGTTTGGGGCTGCCTATGGTGTGCATGCAGACTTCTCTCCAGAGGCTTAGTGGATAAGGGTTACTTGGAGTAAGAGGGAATCCGGTTGGAATCGTTTCTCTACCGCTTCCTGGCTATGTAACCTTGGACAGGAGCCTCAGTCTCTGAGCCTCAATCTCATTGTCTATTAATCGAGATTTATAATAAAATATCAAACCTCAGGGGATTGTTCTAAGGGTTAGCAAAACTGCACATGTGACATATAAGCACACTCGCAGGCCCTAGTAGGCACTCAAAAAGTAGGGGTCAGTATTACTCCTACAAACCCAATGCCTGACCATGACTTCTAATAAGACTTCCCTCGATTGCTCAGAAGAATACAATGGAGGGGCGCCTGGGTGGCTTAGTCGGTTAAGCGTCCGACTTTCGCTTAGGTCATGATCTCGCGGTTCGTGGGTTCGAGCCCCGCGTCGGGCTCTGTGCTGACTGCCAGCTCAGAGCCTGGAGCCTGTTTCAGTCTGTGACTCCCTCTCTCTCTGACCCTCCCCTGCTCACGCTGTCTCTCTCTCTCTCTCCTAGAAATAAATAAAACATTAAAAAATTAAAAAAAAAAAAAAGAAGAATACAATGGATTTCTTCCATCTAGCACTTTCCTCCTATTTCGCTTACTCACTCTGCTGGGCGCCTTGGGTCATTTTCCAAATAGGCTGTAAGTCTTCAATGACACAGGCCTGCAGCCCCTTCACAAGCGGACGCTTGGGTCATTTCGGTACATCCCCTCCCACTACTATCAGATTTGCTACAAGTTTCCAACAGAGTAACTGGAGAGAACAAGGTCACTCTCCCACTCACGTGGTGGGCTCACTCCAGGACCCCATGAAGAAAGGGGGCTCCCACCTCGGCCTTCCTTCCTTCAACAGACCGTGCAGCAGGCTCTCAGGGCCGGGAGCGTGCCCCCCACCCCCTCCTCCTGTCCCAGACGCACCTTGAGGATCTCATCTCCAATAATGATGATGCCCGCCGTCACGCCGCGCCCTGAGGGAGGTTCAGAGGCCCTGGATGCCATGGCCCTGCCTTCTCTGCCCCTTTGCAAGGCCCTCCAGTAGCCACCCAGGGCCCCCAATAGGGGTCGAAAGCACGGGAGTCGCGCCAGGTCTACAGGGCACTGGGGGCCATAGCCTGGGAACAGGGGGGTCCGGGGTCAAGGGAACCTGGAGGAGCCAGAGAGGACACTGGGGGAGAGCAGGAGTGCATGTTCTCTTTTCCTCAGAGGGAGACCTCGCCCGGCCCTTGACAAGCGACTCCTTTATCCCTGCCTTTGATGGACGTGTTCTCAGCCCCCTGCCCTGGCCTCCTTACAGGTCTTCTAAGCTTGGCTCTAGCGTCCTTAGCACGTCCTGCTCTCCCGAGCACCTGTTTCAAGATGTCCCCTGCGCGCAGAGCTCGGTCCCGTAGCCGGCAACAGCCCGGCCGTCTGCACCTTTAAATACCCTTTCTCTTCGGGGCGCCGGTCCCTTTAAATGTCTCGACCCCTTTTAAACGCGGTCTCTCCCTCCGCCGCGGGCGGGAGAGCGGGCGCCGGGTCCGCTGGGGCTCGCTCCCTCCGCGGCCTGCAGCCCCCACGCCTCCAGCCCCCCCAGCGGCTCCAGGTCCCCACCTGCCTCTCGGCCCGGCCCGGCTCGCGCCCACCGCTCCCGCACCGCCCGGGCGGCTTCCGCACGCAGCCCCGCCTTAGACTCGCACCTGCCACGCCGGTTGGTCCCGTCGGCTGTCGCTCAGACCGCCTCCGGGGCCCACTGGCGCAGCCGGCTGTCGCTCGCAGGCCCCACCCAGGGGGCGGGAGGAGCGCGGGGTTGTTACTGGCGACTAGCACGTGGCCACCCTCACCCGGAACTGCGGGGGCGGGGCCCGAAAGGGGTGGCGGTTAGAGGGGCCGCGGGGACCCTGGGGCTCTCCCCCGGCGCTGGAGGGGGAGCGAGGTGTGGTTCTAGCCTCGGTCCTGTTTTCAAATTCTTGTGTGCACGTGCTAGCGCCCTGTACCCCCGACTCTACCTCTAGGCCGAGGGGACTCTGCCCCGTAGCGCACGGGAGTTAGGGGGACACCGGGAAGGATCCGCAGGATCTGTGAAGCGGGAAGAGCTTCGAGAGGGCTCTTCAGTGTGTGGAGGTTTCATTTATTAACTTTTTCTTTAAAAAATTTTTAAAATGTTTTATTTATTTCTGAGAGAGAGAAAGAGGCAGCGTGAGCAGGGGAGGGTCAGAGAGAGAGGGAGACACAGGATCTGAAGCAGCTCCAGGCTCTGAGCTGTCAGCACAGAGCCCGACGCGGGGCTCGAACCCACGAACAGCAGCTCAGGACTTAAGCCGAAGTCGGACGCTTAACTCCTGAGTCACCCAGGTGCCCCAGCTTTCATTTATTTCTATTGTAAATGATAAAGCTATGCACTTCACCGTCTTGACAAGGAAAAAAGCCTTACCCACCCTGTCCAGCTAGTGCTTAATTTGAACGTCACCTTTGCCAATTTTGGGCTTACAGGTACCAGTGAAGGCAGTGACTAGGGAATGCCACCTGTCCGCTTTGGATTCTTATATCATCCTACCTTACTCTCTCATTTCAGTTGCTTTTGGTCTAAAAGTGCTTCTTAAATTTTAATGTTTGATCATCTGGGAACTTCCTTTTTAAAATTTGTTTTAATTTTTATGAGGCGCCTGGGTTAAGTGACCGACTTCGGCTCAAGTCATGATCTCACGGTTCGTGAGTTCAAGCCCCACGTCGGGCTCTGTGCTGACAGCTCAGAGCCTGGAGCCTGTTTCAGATTCTGTGTCTCCCTCTCTCTCTGACCCTCCCCTGCTTGTGCTGTCTCTGTCTCTCAAAAATAAATACATGTAAAAAAATTTTTTAGGGGCGCCTGGGTAGCTCAGTCGGTTGAGCATCTGACTGGCTCAGGTTATGATCTCACGGTCTGTGGGTTCGAGCCCCGCATCAGGCTCTGTGCTGCCAGCTCAGAGTCTGGAGCCTGCTTCGGGTTCTGTGTCTCCCTCTCTCTCTGACCCTCCCCTGCTCATGCGGTCTCTCTCTCAGAAATAAGTAAAACATTAAAAAATATTTAAAAATTTTTAAAAATAAAATGTCTTAATTAAAAACTTTTTAAAAATGTTTTTTATTTATTTCTGAGAGAGAGACAGGGTGAGCAGGGGGAGGGTCAGAGAGGGAGGGAGACATAGAATCTGAAACAGGCTCCAGGCTAGCTGTCTGCACAGAGTCTGACATGGGGCTCAAACCCACGAACCACGAGATCATGACCTGAGCCGCCCAGGCACCCCTGTTTTAATTTTTTAAAGTAATCTCTGTGCACGACGTGGGGCTTGAACTGATGACCAGGAGAGTTGCATGCTCTACGGTCTGTGCCAGCGTGCCAGTGCCAGCCGGGCTCCCATCTGGGACCTTCTTGACATGCTGACTCAATCTCCCCCTCCAGGGGGTTTGGGAGGGGGCTTGAGATCTTTAACAAGCTCTCCTGTCCTGCTGATGCCACTAGTACCTGGACTACGTCTTCTGGAGTAACGTGTAAAATTCCCGCACCGCCAGGACAGTGGAACGCTCCCACCCTCATTTTACTCTCCTGAGGGCCCATGATAGATGATGCCATTTTACAGATGGGGAACAGGCTGAGAAAGATTAAGGGATGCCACACAGCAACCACAAAACAAGAAACAGAAAGGGAGGGCCAGACTTCTAGATTATTCTTTTTCAAGTAATAAGTCCTGTGTATGATTTTCAATTAAATAGAACCTCAGCTCAAAAAAAATTTTTTTTAAAGATTTTAAAGTGCTCTCCACACCCAGCATGGGGCTCGAACTCACAACCCCAAGATCAAGAGCTGAATGCTGTACAGACTGGGCCAGCCAGATGCCCCTAAAAAAAAATGTTAAGGCAAAACAGAAGTCCCCCTTGCCTAACAATAAGTCACATGATCCCTTATCTTCACTCGCAATGGTGATATTGTGCCTCCTCGCCCTCCCCTCCCGCTCAAAGCTCAAACAGCTCTGCCCAATCCTTTATCAGTGATTCCCAAGCTTGAGTAGGCGCCAGGGTCACCCGGAGAGCCTGTTAAAACATTGCTGGCCGACCCCTGAGTGTCTGATTCCTAGGTCTAGGGTGGAGTCCAGTAGTTTGCGATTCTAACAAGGTTTGAGGTGACGTCATACTTCCGGTTCAGGGACCACAGCTGAGCTACTGCCCTAGTGGTACAGGGGTGGACGACAGGGAGAAGGGGGAAGAAAATTTCCTTTATTTATTGTTACTGTTATTTTTTAAAAGTAAGGGGTAAGCTACCATTTGGAAAAGTGTTTTCCTTTTTTTTAAGATTTTTTTTTTTAAGTAATCTCTGCAACCAACATGGGACTCGAACTCATGACCCTGAGATCAAGGGCTGACCGCTCCACCAATGGAGCCAGCCAGGTGGCCCCTGGAGAAATGTTTCTCAAACAACTACAGCTTATACTTGTTTTCCCAAAGGTTAGTACTCCTGCCACCTGCATTAAAAATGCTTGAAATTCCCACATCCAGGCCACGCCCCAGACTAATTAAGTCAACAGCTCTAAGGAGAGGCTGAGGCACCTGTACTTGCCAGGGAAAACAGCAGGCACAGCCCTCTGGCCCCCAGGTCATAGGCCACCGGACCCTGAGCCCTGGGCCTGCCGGAGGGGAGCACACTAGTGGCCTCTGGCTGAGAGCCTCCTCCCTTCACCCTCCTGGGTCCTGCGAATCTCAGGACCACGTTAAGGGCGGCTTCCCGGACCGTAGGAAACAGTTCATTTGTTTTGCTGAGATGACGTCTCCGCATAGCCTCTATCTCAGGCTAATGGAGCAACGTATAATTTCGGATGTTTGACAGAAAGTCTGCTTAAAGTAGGTTAAAACCCAGTTACCGGAATGTTGAAACAACCCTCATCATAAGCGGAGAGCTGGGCTTCGTGATCTAACTGAAGGGGGCGCAACCACAAGCAGGGCGCTGCCTGCGCTGCCCCCGAGAGCAGGGACCTTTACAACAGAAGAATCAGATCATGAAACTTCCTCTTTAATCAAGGCTTTTTAACACGAAAAGATTTCTTGAATAAAATGGAAAGTTTCCAATACAACGAAACATGAAGCACCGTACACACAATACCCGGCAGGACGAAACAAAACAGCAAGTGTACACGGTCCCTGTAGCGGCCATGGCCTCGTTAGAGGAGGGGCTTCCTCCATCCACCCAGCGGGTCCTGCTGGATACAGAGCCCGCGTGGCTTCCGGGGTCACACTCGGCCGAGGCCGTGGCCCGACAGCACTCCGCTGTGTGGTCCAGGGTGCTGTGGGCTCAGGCGAACCAGTCACTGGCACGTTCAAACAGCCTGAGCATCCTTTCAGTGTCAAAGTGAGAAACAAGAAGGCAACGCAATCCGGTTATGAGAAAGATGTCGTTAGCGCGTGAGGACGGCTGTGTGAAGCCGAGGCTGAGGGGCCGCCAGCTTCATTTCTTCGGCTGCTTGGGCAGGGGCCGCCGGAACAGCAAGATGTGAGGTTCTGAAAGAGCGAGTGAAATCTGAGATCTCCGCACAGCGTACGGTCTCCCGCTCCCACCTCCCAGAGACACCCGCTCAGAGTTTTACAACTAAGTTAGGATGTAAGCATACGGCCTGAGAACCAGACCCAAAAGCTGGGCCTGTCTCTGCCAGGTGCGGAATCGTTAGGATCAGTTCTTCTGCTACGTTGTACAGCCCCGGGGGAGTCCTTTATTAGTTTTGCCTGGCGGCTTTGTGTCTGGTGTCTTCTCAAGAAACAGACTTTCCTTGGCTTATTTGGAACACATCCAAGAACTTGCTTTCTGATGGAGAATGATGAAGGGGCCACAGCCTCTATCAGGGTATATATGGCCTTAAAAAAAAATTAGTACTTGGACTATATTAGAGATTAGAGGAGGCTTTTCAGTGACAGGCTTTTCAGTGACAGGTTGTCTCTGCACTTCCCAGGTACTTTACTCTTATTTTTGGTCACTTTGGTTTTTCTAGATGGCTGGTGAGGAATCAGTAAGCCACTGTCACTTGCCCCCTCTTAGTTTGCGGTATGTGATCTTTCCATTCCTTCTTTCCCTCAGTGAAGGAACCCAATGTGACTGCTTTCAGCCACTGCACCAACCTGGTTCGTGGATCATATAATGGACCCATCCCTGACTCTGCTGAACGCCCAGATTCCGCCACTCAGACTCAGACATCAAGTGGGTTTTAGGCACCAGCTTGGCTATGTCCTTGGGCAACATGACGTGCCTGTAAACAGAGACACGGAGACGCGGGGGTGGGGGTGGGGTCGCGTCAGTACGGGGACAGTCTGCTAGGCAAGTGCTAACATACAGCGCCGAGAGAGAAAAGGAAAGAAAAACTGGTTTCCAATGGTAGGGAGTTTATACAAGTTTATTGTGGGGTAAAGGCAGCTAGGAATAAAGGACAAGTTAGGCAGATCCTCACCAAGTATATATATAAAAAAAAATGAGTAACGAAGCGAACGAGCACCTAAATTCCAAGCACCGTGGATACAATGCCCCTGCCCTCCGAGGACTCAATCTAGTGACTGCGCTAAGTCACCCCGCCGGCAGCCGCAGCGCAATGTCAATCATCACAGCGCTGAGGACTGGTGCAGAAGGCCTCTACGGAGCGCTGGGTGGAAGAGCTGTGACCGAGGACCCACTGTGACTGTCTGACCCTCCGCTTCAGTCTCCTGACCCGGAAGGATGTGCTGGGAGGCTTCTCTTGGGAAGCGCCAGGTTTCCCTAACCAAGGAGAAGTCTCCTTTCATGGCAAAGAAAGGGTTGCTCTGACACGAATCGGGCTAATCCGGATTCGCTCCATCATGCTCGGTGAAATCACACTACATGCTCTCCGTCCTAGTAACGGAGGCTCTTTCCAGAGGCAGAATTCTAATCTAAATATCGGAAAACAGCTTACACTCTAACAAGCCCCCGGCGCAAAGACTGCCTTCAGTACCGCCCGAGATGAACCCACAAACGACCCCCCACGACAAGCTCTTTCTCACACCAAGATACCACTGCCACGACCTGTACCTTCCGGAGGGATGAGACGCCAGACTTCTCCCCAGCCCCACGCTGCTTTAGCCAGCTCAGGCCGGATGTGGAGGAAAAAGCTGGGGGCCCCCAGCACCTGGGGTCACGGGCCCCCGTACCTGGCAGCACACACCAAGTGTCCACAGGGCCCAGCCCTGCAAGAGGCGGAAAGGAAACTCAAGCAAAGCAAGTTTCCAGTGTATGGTCTTCAATTCTGGGGACAAGACACCAACTAGGAAGTTGTTTGCGTCCCCGCCACGTCTAGGGCTGCGGGGAGCGGAGGCCAGGGCTTGTGCCCGCACTTAGCACCCCGCCTGCGGGCGCTCCGCAACTGTTGCAAATGTTCGGAGCGCAGCCCGCAGGCCCGGGCCAAGTCCTTTCTCAAAGCCCTTGGCCAGCTTCATTCCCCCGCAGGTCCTTGAAGGCCCCTTCCGGAAACGAGCCCACGCCCCTTCTCCAGGAATCCACGGGAACCTCTCGCCGTGGCCACCTCCTCCCAGGAGGCCCCGAGGTGTCGCCGCGACACCGGCGGTCTCCAGAAGGCAACTCGCTCGGCCCAGGGAGCGCGGCGGTCGGCCTGGAGCCCCAACCACGCCCCCTCCGAGGCCGCCGCTTTCTATTTTCCCCGGCGCCGCCGGGCCCTCGCGCGTGCGCCGTACGCTCTCCGCGACCGTCCCCAGCCCGCGGCCCGGGCCTCCCGCGCATGCGCCGGTCACGTCGCTTCAGCCCTGGTTCCTAACTCTTCTTGCCCTCACTTGTCGAAGTTCACGACCTCGCGGTGGGCCCCGCGTCGGCACTAACCGGTACTCGAACTCCTCGTCGTCGTATTTGTCCGAATAGTAAATCTGTTTGTGCGACATGATGGCTCGGCCTGAGGACCGTCAGCCCCGCGCCGCCAACTTCCAAACAACTCCCAGCAGCACGCGCTCCCACCTACGTTGGCCTCGCTTTCAAACACGCCGCCCGCCCTTCCAATTGGTCCCTTTGGCTTAAGGCGGGACAGCTCCACCTTCAAGCCGCGGATTGGCTTAGATTTGCTTCTCCTCGAGTCCTTATTGGACTGCGCCTCTCACGTTCCTCAAGAACCAGCGTAGGTAAAAAAATGCGCCTCTAATTGGCTGTCCCCGCCCCCTTGCGCGCTCTCGCGCTGCCATTGGCTCATTCGTGAAAGTGGGACGGGTGAAGGAGGGACCGAGGTAGAGGGTCAGGGGTTAGTGAGGCCGGAAGTGAGTGCAATAAAGTTTCTTCAGGGAGGCCGGGCCGGGGAGAAAGTTGGAACGGCAACCTGAGGAGGCAGTGGCGTGATCCGGAACCAAATCGGGCCGCGGTGCGGTGCGGAGACTCCATGAGGCCCTGGTGAGTTGGGCCTTTCCCCTCTCCTTAGGTGACCCACTCCTCCACCCCGGAACCCCTCTCCCGGGACCCTACTTCCGGTCTTCGTGTATAAGTCCCGCCCCCTGAGACCCCCTCCCCGGAAGTCCCACCTACCAACTTCAGGGGGGTCCCCGAACCCCGACTTGTTTTCTGCTTATTGTCCGCGACCCCACCCTGCCGCCCAGCTTTCCTGGAAGCCCCACCCCCGGACATGCCTCCAAGCCCTAGTGCTCGAGACCTGACGGTGGTCCTTCCAATTCCCCGAGACTCCGCCTCCTCGCGACGGGTCTCCGTTAACTCCCGTCCGTCAAAGAGCCTGTCTCCCGAAAGCGGAGAGCCCCGCCCCGCGGAGGACGCTGGGGACTCGGGAAGCCACGCCTCCCCGAGGCCCCGCCTCTTCCCCACCGCGTCGGGGTGAGCGGACACCCCGCCTCCCAGAAGACTCTGGAGCCTGCGACCTGGGGGCCACGCCCCCTGAGGGGCTGCTCGGGGGGCGACCCCGGTCTCCGCCTCGGAAGCGCGGTCCCCAGCCCCGAAGCCCCCGGCTCACACAGTTCCCTTTTCTCTTTTGGGCCTCGGGCTCCGTTTTCCTGAGCGCTCGTGCCGCAGCAGGCGGGAAGTCAAAGTGCCCCCGCCCGGCTCTGAGCGGCGAGAGGTTAGAGGCAGCCCTTGGCCTCCCCCTGCCCCCTGCCCGGGGGGGGGGGCCGGCGTGAAGGGGGCTGGGCTTGCTCCGGGGCTCCCCCTCCCAGGACCGACTCCGCCCCAGGGACAGCTGCAGGTCTCACACCTGCACCTCGGGAGCTGGTAGGGCCGTGGGCTTGTCGGCGTGCGACCTGTGGGTGCGACAGGAGCGAGCGCTGTCCGCTGCCAGGGGACGGCGGCTTGGAGGGGTGGAGGGGACAAGCGGCCCTTTTGCAGGGACTCCTCAGCCCCCACCGTTCCTTTGGCCCTTCCCCTCCCCCTAAGCGGAGTTCTTGCCTGGGCATTCCTCCTGGGCCTGCTCGCCCAGCCTTCCTTCTGGAAACATTCCTGAGGCTTTCGCCATTTCCTGCTACTTGCTGCCTCCTCCCTGCTGGGCTGGGAAGCCACCAGCGGCTTCTCCCCCACACCGGCCACCCGGACTCTCAGGAGGCAGTCCCCTTCTTTCCTATGCAAATTTAAAAAGCCCTACTTCCTCTTTTTTTCCGAAAGCCCACACCTGTCGGTCGTTCCCGGCCTCCGGATTCGGCGGGCTCCCGCGGCAGGGGGCCGCCCTGGCAGGTGTGGGGGAGTGAGGCTGTGGCGGGGCCTTTCCGCATTCTCCCGCAGCCTGAGACGTGGAGTGATAGAATCGTGCTCAGGAGTGACCAGGCTGTCCTCGGATGAGGGCTAGGGCAGGAGAAAGTTCAGTGGTGGCATTATCAATTGTGATCGTATCATCGGCTGCATCCTTAAGTAGATTTGAGAGTAGGTATTCCCCGGGTGAGCGCGGGGGTTCTGCGTAGCTTTTGCCACTTGTTTGCGATCGCCCCCCTTCCTCCACGGCCCCCTCAAGCAGAGCTGTGGCAGGAAGCTGTGGGTGGGAGGGATGGGTTTGAGCTGTTCCCTGTGTCCAGCCTCAGCCCATCCCTGACGCCCCTTGACACGGATTTGCATTCTGCCCCCTCTGTCCCTTCGTGGCCTGCGGCCCCCACTTGTGTCGGAGGACTTTTCACTGTCCCATGTTCTTCAGTCACACTGTGGCCCCTGGCGGACACCAGCATCTTCCCCGGTCACCGGCGCGAGAGAGTGCGTTCAGGGAGCCGACCTCAGTGTCCGTGTCTTGCCACCCACCCACCATCCACAGCTTGCTTTGCTAACTAGGCCCCGGGGGGGGGGGCGCAAGAGTGCGGGGCGCTGCTCCTCGGCATGGTGGGGGCTGCGCAGAGAGAATGAGGCTCCGACCGCCTGTCCTGTGCTCTGCTCTGCCTCCCACCGGGTGGTTCCCTGAGGCACCTCCCAGGTTGGAGTTTGTTCCCCTTAGGCACTGGCTTTGCTCTGCCCACCGGGACCGCTTCCATCTTTTCCCCATTTCTTTACCTCCTGTCCACAGCTGGTGTGGCAGAGGGTGCTAATGGCCCCGGCTCCCTAGGGCCACCACCCCACTGTGCCATCGCAGCGGGGGTAGCCAGGCCTGGGCTGCGGGAGGGGGGAATTTGTTCCACTGGGACAGGAAGGGAAGTGCTGAGCTCGGGGTCCCCTCCCTTTCCCACCCCCAGCGGCCTCTGTTTCCTCTCTCATTCCCCCATTACTCTCCCGCGGCTTCCTGCTCCCTTTGGCCTGCCCATGTCCTGTTTGGATTGATCCAGACCAACCCTTGTTTCCCTCCTTCCCTTCTCATGCCTACATCCTTCCCTCCCACCCCCACTTTACTCCCCTCGCCGGATTACTGGTGGTTTGTCTGGGGGCAGGGTGGGGACTCGGTCCCTGCCCGAGTTCTCGGCTGGGGCAGTGGTGGGGGTTCAGCCCCTCGGAGCCTGTGAGTCAGCAGTGTCCTCGGGATTGGGCTCTCGCCTCAGCTCCCCGCCCCTGGGGAGGAGCCAGGCCGCTCCGGGTCCAGCCTGTTCTCCTCTCCACCGGAGAAGAGGCTCCAGGCTGGGCGGGGATGGGGCCTGAAACTAGCTGCCTCTGAGCGGTGGGGGGGGCACCAGCGCCGCCTCTCCCTCTCCCTTCCCAGGATCCTTGAGATCCCCGGGCCAGAGCGGTCCCATCAGGCTAAGGGGCTGGGGATGCCCCCTGCCTGGCCCCCTTGCCCTGACTGGCAGGGGGGCCGGGCTGGCCAGCAGCCTTCCTCCCCTTCCAGCCATGGATCTCCTGCCCCCCAAGCCCAAGTACAACCCACTTCGGAATGAGTCTCTCTCATCGCTGGAGGAGGGGGCTTCGGGGTCCAGCCCCCCGGAAGAGCCGCCTTCCCCGTCAGCCTCGTCTCTGGGGCCTATGCTGCCACCTCTGCCTGGGGATGAGAGTCCCACCACTCTGTGCTCCTTCTTCCCCCGGATGAGCACCCTGAAGCTGGCCAACCCAGCGGGGGGGCGCCCGGGGCCGAAGGGGGAGCCAGGGAGGGCAGCCGAGGACGTGGAGGGGGGCGTAGGGGTGGCCGCGCCAGACTCAGGCCCCCTGCCCCTCCTCCAGGACATGAACAAGCTGAGTGGAGGCGGCGGGCGCAGGACTCGGGTGGAAGGGGGCCAGCTGGGGGGCGAGGAGTGGACCCGCCACGGGAGCTTTGTCAATAAGCCCACGCGGGGCTGGCTGCATCCCAACGACAAAGTCATGGGACCCGGGGTTTCCTACTTGGTTCGGGTGAGTGAGCGCCCTCCCAGAGCCCCGGTCTCCTCCCCACCCATCTCCCCAACACCTCCCTGCTTTCAGGGCCCTGTTTCTGAGAGCTGTCTTGCCCCTCTCGCTTTCTGGACCCCTCCCCTTCCAGCTTTGCCCGGGGCCCCTTCCTTCTGTGCCCCCCTCCCCGCGGCTTAGGACGCCGCCCAGCCGCACGCCCAGCCCAGCCCAGCGTGGTGGAGGCTCCTAGTACGTGTTGGAGTGAGGGAATGAGAGTGACCCCGGAGTGTGTTCCCTGGTCTCCTCCCCTGGAGATGTCACTCCGTCCCCCCCCCCCCCCCCCCCCGGGGCCTGTCACTGCCATCCAGCTTCTCTTCCCCGATGCATGAGGTCTTCCCAGCTCGCCTTGCCTTTTCTCTCCTCCTTTCCTGTTGCCTTGCACGTTGTGGGGTGTCGGCACGGGCAGTGGGCGAAGTGCCTTCATCTTCACTCATCCCTCAGCGGGGCACTTAGCACAGGGCACTTAGCGGGCACGTAGGGAAAAGACCTGGGACTCTTTGGGAAGGGGTGGGGGGAGGCGGCTGACCTGTCACCCTGGGTCGGTCCCCTCCCCTCAGTACATGGGCTGTGTGGAGGTCCTGCAGTCGATGCGCGCCCTGGACTTCAACACCCGCACCCAGGTCACCAGGTTAGTGGGGGGGGGGAGCAGACTGGGGGAGTCCTGGAGGACTGGGGAGGAGGGACGCGGGTCGCTGGCTGGTGGCTTATCTTTTGGTAAAGGGGGTGGAGATAAAGTTAGGGGGGCCAGTCAGAGTCTGAATGAAAGGAGGTAGCTCTGGTCTGGATCCTTCCTCCTCAGGGCCTGGGAGCGCGAGCCTCAGTGGGAGCTGGGTGGGTGGAAAGGGGCTGCCGCCTTTGGGCTGGGGGGAAGGGGAAGGGACATTCGCTAGCTGGGAGGGGGTGGGGCTGGACCCACTGAGGCCCTAACCCAATCAGCCAGGAAGTGGCCTCTCCGTGTCATCAAATATTAAAGGCCCTTAATTCAATCCACCATGACAAAGAGCCTGGAGTGCCCCTGGAGTCTGGCCTGGCCTTCCCCTCCCCCTGCCCCGTGGCAGCCCCAGCCGAGGGCGCCAGGCCCTGGGTCTGAGGACCCCTTTTCCCCAGGGAGGCCATCAGTCTGGTGTGTGAGGCCGTGCCCGGTGCCAGGGGGGCGACGAGGAGGAGAAAGGTACCCAGGGCCGGTGGCGCGGGTGCTGCTGGGAAGCACGGGGGGCGGTGTGGAGACGGGGGGGCCGAAAGGCAGGGGGCAGGGGTTTTCCTGGGATGGGAAGCCCCAGCTTTTGAGAGCCTGAGAGCCCTGCCCCCCCCCCCCCCAGCCCTGTGGCCGCCCACTCAGCTCCATCCTGGGGAGGAGTAACCTGAAGTTTGCAGGGATGCCGATCACTCTCACCGTCTCCACCAGCAGCCTCAACCTCATGGCCGCAGACTGCAAGCAGGTTGGTGGGCTTCGGCAAGGGGGCCAGAAACTGCTGGAAGGGCCGAGCAGGACACTCACAGTGCCAGGGGCTGGGACAGTCGGGAAGGAGGGGCTTGCGAGGCCCTGGGCTAAGAAGCCAGAAGGGCGGGACTGGCTGCCAGGGCTTGGGGCAGTGGGGAGGGGGGCTCCCAGGTAGGCCCTGAGGCTGCCTGACGTGTGCCATCCCCTCCTCTGTCCCGTGCCCTGACCCTCAGATCATCGCCAACCACCACATGCAGTCTATCTCATTTGCGTCCGGTGGGGACCCGGTGAGTGGAGGCAGAGTAGGGGCCAGGCGCTGGGGAGCCACGGGCTGGACGAGACGGGGTGGTCTCTGAGAAGCACTGGGTTCTAGGGGTCGGGAGTGAGGTGGGGCTGTGCGGTCGAGCTAAGTGGCTTCTTCTGACCCCGCCCAACCCCAGGACACAGCTGAGTACGTCGCCTATGTTGCCAAAGACCCGGTCAATCAGAGAGGTGAGGCGCGGTGGGGAGCGCTGGGTGGGGCCGGCTGTCCGTGAGGCAGGTGAGCAGGACCTGGGAGCTAAGCGGGGGCCCTGGAAGGCGAGGGCCCTGGCCGCGCCCCCCCAACCCCCCCAGCAGTCCGCCTCCGAGCTCACGGACAGCCTGTGCCGTGCCCACAGCCTGCCACATCCTGGAGTGTCCCGAAGGGCTTGCTCAGGACGTCATCAGCACCATCGGCCAGGCCTTCGAGCTGCGCTTCAAGCAGTACCTCAGGAACCCGCCCAAGCTGGTCACCCCTCACGACAGGTGAGCGGCTCCCGGGCCCCAGGCCGGAGCTGAGAGAGCAGGTGTGCCCCAGTGCCCGCACGGGGGCCGGGGGACGTCACCCGTGTGCCGTGGCCGTTTCCTGCTATTCTTCCGTTTCTCGCGGCTGCCAGGACAGTGTGTCCTGCCTGCCTTGGGCCGGGGGACGTCCCCCTCTCACGGGCCAGCCCCCATGCCCCTGCCTTCGTGCCCCTTTCCGTCCCCAGCCACCCCAGTGCCACCAGCGTGTCTCTGTTTTCTTGCCTGTTTGTCCATCCTTGGTTTTCCATTTTCCCCGCCCGTGGACGCCCTCAGGAATTTGGGTGAGGGAGGGCGCCTCCTTCCTGAGACCCCTACCTTTCCTTCCTGCCTTAGGCGGCAGCTGTTGAGTATTTGGAGGTTAAACTAGCCTGGAGGGCATGCCTTCTTGCTACCCTGTGCTTCCCCCCCCCGCCTCGGGAGACCGTGTAATAATCAAGGGCATGAACGTTGGGTCAAATCCGATTCCACGGCTCTGTTCCACCGCCGTGTAACTCCGCAGCCGCGGGCGGATCTCGCCTCTGACCCTCCTCTCTCGCCTCTAACGCTGGAGAAGGAAGCCAGGGCCACTGGCAGGGCCTCCCAGAGGGTGGTGCAGCTGTGTGTAGAGAACAGCCGGCTTGCGCCCCCCCACCCCCCCGGCAGTGCCCAGCCCACGGCCACCGTCCGTGCCCTCCCTCCCTCCTGCCCTCTCAGGATGGCTGGTTTTGACGGCTCGGCTTGGGACGAGGAGGAGGAAGAGCTGCCTGACCACCAGTACTATAATGACTTCCCGGGGAAGGAGCCGCCCCTAGGGGGAGTGGTGGACATGAGGCTTCGGGAAGGAGCCCCCCCGGGGGCTGCTCGACCCACCCCTCCCGGTGTCCCGACCCCCAGCCACCTGGGAGCAACGCTGGTGAGTGGCTGGAAGGAGGTGGGGGCCCAGGCGGCCGGGGCAGGTCTGGGCCTCCGGTAACATATTCTTGTCCCTGCAGCCTGTGGGGCAGCCGGCTGGGGGGGACCCAGAAGTTCGCAAACAGACGCCAGCCCCTCTGCCCTGCCCAGGTGTGAAGGGAGCCGGGAGGTGCAGGGCGGGGCGTGCGGGAGGCCGGCCTGCCGCTGAAGCTTCCCTCCTCAGCAGGTAGAGAGCTCTTCGATGATCCTTCCTACGTCAACGTCCAGAACCTAGACAAGGCCCGGCAAGCAGGGGGTGGGGCCGGGCCCCCCAATCCCGCCATCAACGGCAGCGCCCCCCGAGACCTCTTTGACATGAGTGAGTCCTCCCCTCTCCGTCGTCGCTGCCTTCCCCCCCCCCCCGGCACCACCTCTTCCTCCCTGCTGCCTCCTCCCCGGAGGTCTGGGTCTTGGCGTGTGTCGTGCGTCCCACCTTTCCTAGCCGCCTCTCTGCCTCCCCCTCCCCCCCAGAGCCCTTCGAGGATGCCCTCCGCGTGCCCCCACCTCCCCAGTCGGTGGCCATGGCCGAGCAGCTGCGAGGGGAGCCCTGGTTCCATGGGAAGCTGAGCCGGCGGGAGGCCGAGGCCCTGCTGCAGCTCAACGGGGACTTCCTGGTGCGGGAAAGCACGACCACGCCGGGCCAGTACGTGCTCACCGGCCTGCAGAGCGGGCAGCCCAAGCACCTGCTGCTGGTGGACCCGGAGGGGGCATGGGGGCGCGGCGAGCGCTGCAGGGGGGGGTGGGGGTGTCGTGGGGGGCTGTGGGCTGCGGCCAGCTCTTTCGCTCACTCCTCCTTCCTACTGTCCCTGCTTGGGGTTTGTGCGTGGGCACCCTCTGCAGCAGTCTGGGGTCCTTCCCTCACGCCCCCGAGCCTGAGCTCTGTTCTTTCAGCCCGCAAACCCCAGCCCCGGTGCCCATCTGAGCTCGACGGGGTTCATCTTGTCTGCGCCCCTTTGAGAAATGAGGAAACCGCCCTGCAGAGGAGCCGCCCCCGCTCCCCCCAGACTCAGGGCTCAGACCAGTGTCCCGTCGTGTGTCTGCACTGCCCCGCAGGACTTTGGGCTCTGCTATGGCAATCTGCGGCTCTCTTCCTGTCTTTCCTGTACCGTGTCACCTCCCCAGAGACATGCCACCTTCCAGGTCAAAAGAGGAGTCGATAGCTCTCGGCTTCCCCATTCCGGGCAGACCCCCCTCTGCCTTTTCCTGTTCACTGAGGCCGTTCGCAGGGCCAGCTCTGGGTTCTCTTTCTCCAGGAGCCTCAGCGGTCAGGTCCTCGCGGCCCGGCCGTCCTTTTCTCCTTCCTCAACCCTCTTGAATTCTCCAGCTTCCTCAGCCTTGGGGGCTGCGGTCTTAAGTCTTCACCTGCCTTGATCCTCTCCCTGTGCACCCCCAGGTTCGGACAAAGGATCACCGCTTCGAGAGCGTCAGCCACCTCATCAGCTACCACGTGGACAATCACTTGCCCATCATCTCTGCGGGCAGTGAACTGTGTCTCCAGCAGCCTGTGGAGCGGAAGCTGTGATCCAGCAAAGTGCTTTCTCCCCGAAGGGGCCTTCCCCCCTTCCACCCTGTTCATTGATTCTCAGGACTTGACTTGGGAGTGTTCTGTGGGCTGGGCCTTGGGTTGGAGCTGGGCGTAGTGTGGATACCGGGCAGCGCCGGCTGAAAGAGGGTTTGTCAGAAGCCTGGGGTAGAATCCTCGTTCTCCCCGAACCTTACCAAAGTATTAACGTGCAGAGTAGCCCCTTCCCTGGGCCTCTCCTGTGCCAATCTGATACCCCCTTCCCCAGGAAGGTGGGTGCTTGAGGCCTGGGCAGTGTGCCGCTTTGAAACGAGAAAAGTCTAACGGGGCAGTCGCCTTTCCAGGGAAGGGGAACAAATCACACCTTTTGTCTACCCTTGGGCTCAGGGTACCCCAGACCCTTCTCAACAACCCTCCCTCCCAGTGGTTAAACTTTGTGCCTTTGACCATCTCCTAGGTCTGAAAAAATATTATGCAAAGAGTTCTTGAGCCTCTGAGGTCGAGGATGGGAGTGCTGACATCTTGGTTTCGGGGACCCTGCCCTCCCTCTCCCTGCTCGGCACCCACTCCACTCCGGTTTAGGTTGGGAAAGCAGAGGCAGGAATGGCAGCTGGTCCCCGTCCCCGGGGAAATGCGACCCTTAGAGATTGCCTCAGAGCCCCCTCTTCCTGGCCAGTGGGGAGATGGACCCCTCCCTTGCTCAGTGCCTCCTGGTGGGGGGGGACCCTCACCCAAGGGGTCTGTATATACATTTTGTAAGTCCCTCCCCCACCTCAGAGTTGCATGCATCTTACACTCTACAGCCAAAGTGTCGCTCTGGTCCTGCAGCCTCTACTCTGCCTCCTCCTGCTGGGGGGGGCCGGATTCAGGTCCCCCGAGCTGGTAACTGGTTTTGTGAGGCAGGGGCGACGGCATTGAGACTAAAGCAGTAGACAATCCCCAAATACCATTTGTAGGTTTGGAACTACATTTATTTTGATTTTATACGCATATATTTTAGGGCTGTGGATTTACTTTCCTTATTTGTTTTCCCTGGCTTATCTTGAGCACAGAATGATAATCAGTTACGTGTACACACTACCCCTTTGCCTTTTCAAACCCTTTTACAACGCCTGGCATTTCCCTCCTCCCGGCCTCTGCACCATCTTTTCCACCAGAGACTCTGCCCTGGGAAGCGGATCGAGAGCCTGGACCAGGAAAGCCTGGGCCTGCCCCGAGGCCCCGGCGGCCTATACGCGGTCTGAGCTTTGTCAGGCCGACGTGCCCCCCCCGCCCTCCCGCGGGAGCCAGCCCTGCTGCTGGGGGCTCCGCCTGCGGACGAGGGAGGGGGAAGGGGGGTCTCCACGATCTTCGTTTTCTTTTTGTTTGGGTGTCTTCGCGGGTCTCACTTATACCAAAGGGAAATCCTCTTCATTAAAGTCCCTGTTTCTTCTACCTCGGCCTCGGGGTCCCTGCTGCTGCTTGTCGTTGACCGCGGCCGGGCGGGGAGGGGAGGGGTGGGGGGGAGGGGAGGGGAGGGGAGGGGGGGCGGTCCTCCCCGAAGCGGCGCCTCCAGTCTCCCCCAGGCTTCGGCTCCGGGTGGTCTGGCCCGGGCCCCGCCCCTCGCCGCGCGGCGGCCGCGGCGACGCCGACTTCCGCTTCCGGCTGCTGCCGCGGCCGCGGGCGGGCGGCTGGCCCTGCGCTCGGCCTCGCCGCCAGGCCTGGCCGCTCTTCGCGGGACCCCCGAGCCCCCTCCCGGCGATGGTGCCGCCCGAGGGCGCGTCCGTCCCCCGCCGCCGCTGACCCCGGCCCCCCGCCCCATGGCCGCCTCGGCGCCGCCCCCACCGGACAAGCTGGAGGGAGGTGGCGGCCCCGCACCGCCCCCTGCGCCGCCCGGCACCGGGAGGAAGCAGGGCAAGGCCGGTGAGAGCGCCGAGCACCTGGGGCCGGGGGGAGGTTGGCGGGTGGGCGCAGGCGGGGTTCCTGGGGCCGGGGGGCCCGAAGGGAGGCTTGGGCGGGGGGCGGCGGGGGTCCGTGTCACAGATCGGGGACCTTAGGGTTTGGACACGCACGGGCTCCAGGAGCCACTTGGGAGTCTGAGGGCATCGGGGTGAGGGGTGTCTTATTTGAGGGCGGAGGCAGCCGAGAGTGCGGCCGTGCAGCGTTTCTCGTAGTGCACCTTTGTTCGTGTTTGTTAAGTGAATGAGCAAGCGCGTGTCCAAGTTAGAAGAGCTGCTCCGGCGCGTCCGGGAGGCCGGAGGCTGGGGCAGCCCCAGGGAAACGCGTTCGGGCCTGCATTCTGCTGCTCTTCCAGGTCTGCAGATGAAGAGCCCCGAAAAGAAGCGAAGGAAGTCAAACACTCAGGTGAATGGTGCTCGGCGGTGGGGGAGATTCCTAGCTGCGGCTCAGTGGGCTTGGGTCTTGCCTCCGGTGCGGAGAGGAGAGAAAGCGTCCTGGTTCTGGCCCTTTCCCCCGACTTCCTAACGAATGCGGGGGCCGGGGGCGCTGTGTGTGAGGCCGTTTGACCCAGGATCTTATCCGTCAGGAACAGAGTCGTCTTGTAGCTAGCGCTCTGTGCGCGTAGTACTTTGACAGCTTTGGGAGTCTGGCATTGTCCCCGTTTCATAGATGAGGATTTGAGGCTTTGGAAAGTTGAGCACCACCTGCCCAAGGGCCTTGAGATGACTCGGGGTCAGAGCTAGGATTCCAGCGCGCTTCTGTCTGCTTCCTGCGCGCCCTGTTTCTGCTCCGTTCTGAGGTTCCGCCTGACTTCCGCCAGAGCTGGCCCTTGCCAGCCTCCAGGACACGTCCTGCGTTCCTGCAGCTGTCCTGGTCCCTAGCTGCGTGTCGGCCTCCGTGACCCTCTCTCCCTCTTCTGCTCCCCACCAGGGCCCTGCGTACTCACATCTGACGGAGTTTGCGCCACCCCCGACTCCCATGGTGGATCACCTGGTGGCATCCAACCCTTTTGAGGATGACTTCGGAGCCCCTAAGGTGGGGGGCGCAGCCCCTCCGTTCCTTGGCAGTCCTGTCCCCTTTGGAGGCTTCCGTGTACAGGGGGGCATGGCAGGCCAGGTACCCCCAGGCTACGGCACTGGGGGTGGAGGGGGTCCCCAGCCTCTCCGCCGCCAGCCCCCTCCTTTCCCTCCCAATCCTATGGGCCCTGCTTTCAACATGCCCCCCCAGGGCCCTGGCTACCCACCCCCAGGCAACATGAACTTTCCTGGCCAGCCCTTCAGCCAGCCTCTGGGTCAGAACTTCAGCCCTCCTGGTGGGCAGATGATGCCAGGCCCCGTGGGAGGATTTGGCCCCATGATCTCACCCACCATGGGACAGCCTCCCAGAGGGGAGCTGGGCCCCCCTTCTCTCCCCCAACGCTTTGCCCAGCCAGGGGCACCTTTTGGCCCTTCACCTCTCCAGAGACCTGGTCAGGGGCTCCCCAGCCTGCCCCCCAACACGAGTCCCTTCCCTGGTCCGGACCCCGGCTTTCCGGGCCCTGGCGGTGAGGATGGGGGAAAGCCCTTGAATCCGCCTGCCTCCACCGCTTTTCCCCCGGAGCCTCACTCGGGCTCCCCAGCTGCCGCTGTTAACGGGAACCAGCCCAGTTTCCCCCCAAACAGCAGCGGGCGGGGTGGGGGGACTCCAGATGCCAACAGCCTGGCCCCCCCCAGTAAAGCGGGTGGGGGCTCGGGGCCTCAGCCCCCCCCGGGCCTGGTGTACCCGTGTGGCGCCTGCCGCAGCGAGGTGAACGACGACCAGGATGCCATCCTGTGCGAGGCTTCCTGCCAGAAGTGGTTCCACCGCGAGTGCACGGGCATGACCGAGAGCGCGTACGGGCTGCTCACCACCGAGGCCTCGGCCGTCTGGGCTTGCGACCTGTGCCTCAAGACCAAGGAGATCCAGTCCGTGTACATCCGCGAGGGCGTGGGGCAGCTGGTGGCTGCCAACGATGGGTGACGCGGCCGAGGGCAAGGGTTCCCGAGTCTGGCTCTTGCTCCTCGTTTCCACTGGCTTCCCGTCCCCGCGGGGCAGAGACGCAGTGGCTCCTGAGGGCAGAGGACCTGAGGCGGGCAGGCGGAAGAGCCTGGATGGCACGCTTCTCTGGAAACTCACTCGCGCACGTCGAGCTCTACAGGGATCCAGGAAGCCGGAGCCCCGGCAGCGCCGTGGCGGCTCCCGTCTCCACAGGCCCCGGGGTGAGCCTGCGCGAGAGCGGAGGCGGGAGGAGGGTCTGCATGGCAGGGGTCTCCTCCTGCAGGGGACGGCCGCCCCGGCCCCTGTGCCTCACAGCCCCGTCCAGCCCCGCGGCTGCAGCCTTAGCGTTGGGAGTGACGGGTTCGAGGTTTCTGGCCAGAGGAGTCGGGGTCCCATCCCTGCGGCAGCTTTCGGGGGCTTTAGGAGACAGCTTTAGGTAATAAATGGGAGTTTTCCCTTTTCTTACCCTCCCTTGCCTCCAAGTCCTACCCCCTCAGACAACCAAATAGCTGGAAGGAGCAGGAGAGTGTTTGGCCGGGGCAGTTTCGTGTGATTTGGGGCTTCAAGACTGTGGGTGAGAGGTGCTGCCCGCCCCCGTGTCCCTTGTACCAAAGCCACTGGTCCTTTTTCAGCCTCTCTCGGGCTTTTCTCTTAATGACCATGTTTTTGCCAAAAGTTGGGATATGTGGTCTGACAGACCGGAATATCTGAGGTTCGGACTGTCCTGGGACCCGGGACTCTGATGGCACCACGCTCCCCCCACCCCCTTGCCGATTTGTGGCACAGTAGTGGCCGCGCGGGCCTGGCGCCACGGGCACCTGTATCCTCCGCCTCCCCGGCTTCACTGAAGGAAAGCTTGAAAAGGCACCGAGCCCGTATACCTCATCTCCCGACAAGGCTCCCTGTCCCCGCGTGTGGCGGGCAGAGGCCGTGGGACCGAAGCGCAGCCCAGAGCCCGGGTGTGGTGGACCCTTCCGTGGCTCTTCCCAGGCCCGGTGACCTAGCCGTTCACGCACCTCCCCGCCGGGGCCCCGCATGGGCTTTGTGCGTTCATATACTGAATTGTAGGCGATATGGGCCCTGGGCCGGGGCTGGAGCACACACTCCTGGGGGGAGGGGGCCCAGGCAGCACACTCGCGGCCCAGAGGGGCTAGGGGGTCCCCGCCCCCCTCTCCCAGGACCCTCTTGTGTGAAGAACTGCTTGCACGGGTGAGGCCAGCAGTTTCTGAGGCTGTGGGGAGTGCTGGGGTGGGGGTGGGGGCTCGGCTTCCCTCCTCTGGTGTCCGGTCTCCCGCCCCCGGCTTTGTGTTGTGTTTGTGGTTCTGTTGCCCCTCTTTTATCTGTTGCTATTTTTGTGATGTCTTCCCCCACCCTCACCCCTGTTCCTCCGCCATCTCCACCTTTTGTAAGTGGCTCCTGGGGAGGGGTCTGCTCGATCCTCTCCCTCTACACTATTTGGAAGGGAGTGGGGGTGGCAGAGATGTAGTGGTGGGGGTCTTTTGTACGATTGGATTAATAAAATGACTTGAAAATCCAGGTAAGGACTCCTGGCTATTTCTGTGCGCTTCGGTGGGAAAGAGCCTCTGTCACCTCTGAGCCGATGCCTGGGGGCGTGGGGGGGGGGGTGAGGATATTTATGTGCCCAGGGTTCCTGGAAGAGGGAATGGCGGAGAGACTCGGACCCCTGAACTGACCTTGGTACGAGCCAAGGAGCCCCGGGAGGCCTGTGTGCGCCGCCCCTCCCCCCTCGTCCCTGGTGTGGGAAAGCAGTTCCTTTCTGGGCACATTCCTGGGCCTGGCCTGGAGCCAAGTGCCCTTGGTGTTTCTGGGTTTAGCGCCCACTGCCCCTCCCCTAGTTGCTTGGGTTGGGGTCAAGTGCAGTGGGAAGGGGGCTGTCCCTGGTCTAGCGGATTTAACTTGGGGATGCTTTGTCGGTGTCCACTTTAGAAAAGTAGCAGTGGGATCCTTAACCTGCCCCGGCGCTGGGCGGGGAGAGCGGCGGGAGGGCTATTTCCATCGCACGGATGCCATCCCCCCTCCCCGGCCTGCAGCTGTCTCTGTCTGTCCTGGGGTCGACCTGCCCCTGCGGTCCCAGGAGGTGCCACGCTTTGCTTTCAGCTGTGGGTCTTCCCCCAGCAACTGTTTCCACACTGGGAAAGGAGGCGAGGTCACCCCGAAGCCGGCTCGCGGGAAGCCCCGCGGACCGTGGGAGCAGAGCCCAGGGCCGGGGGCCGGCCAGGGCCCCCTCCCGTCCCCCGGCTCTCGATTCCAGCGCTGATTGGCCCAAAGTTTCCGCCCCCTCCGGGACGCTGGCTCTCCATTGGCCAGTCCAGGTCACGTGGGCCCCTCCCCTCCCGGGCAGGAAACCAGGGAGGCCGCAGCTAGTCGGGTGAGGACTGCGGTGCTGCCGGGTCAGGTGAGGCCCGGCCGGGCGGGGGTCGCGCAGACCCCTCAGTCGGGAGGGGCGTGGGCTGCCCGGGGACCCGGGAGCTGCTGGGCCCTGCTGGGCCCGGGGGGGCGGCGCCCCCGGCGGCGGTTCCCGGACTGGCACTTGCTCTGGCGGCGCGGGGTCTCCTGCTTCCGAGGCTCGGGACGGCCGCCCCTACAGGGCTTGCGTCGGCCCGACTGGCCAGCTTTGTGCCGAGGGGAGCGCCCCCCGTTAGCTGTCCTCTGGGAACAGCAGAGGGACAGGCCAGGAAGTCCGTTTTTGCGGGGAGGGGCGGGGGTGGAGATGGAGAGGTGGACGGGAGAGGGGAGGGGTGCCGGTGGGGCCGAGGAGGGAGCTTCCTAATAAGGCGAAGCGATGCGGGCCGGAGAACAGGGCCGTCTTTTGGTATCTCGGAGGGACTCAGCGGACAGAGGTTGCAGAGTTGGGAAGCCTGGGTGCAGGGGCTACAGACCGTTTCCCCTGTCGGGAAACACTGTTGCACTCTGCTGGGGTCTCAGAGCGCTTGTCTCTGTTGACCCAAATGGCGGGCCGGTTTCCATGGAGACAGTAGGTCTGACATCACCCTGGTCGCCATGGTGCCTGGTTCTGGAGGACCCGAGCAGGCTGGACACACACAGCCGGGGAGAACAAGAAACTTCAGCCCAAGCTGCTGCCACTTCCTTCCTGCCACCACCTGTTAACAGTCACACGCAGCAACTGGGGATGGCGAGATGGTGACAGAGGGCGGGGGAGGGCCCAGGGCCGGCTCTGCCGGGACCTTCAGGAGCTGGCTAGGGGGGCCTGTTGGATGCGGTGTGGGGGTCCCTGCAGCCATTCTCCTGTCTTTCTGTGGGACGGCCGCGCCTGTCTGGGGGGCGCGGGCATCGGGGAAGACACCAGCAGCTGTGTGTCCCCGGCGTGGGTCTTGAAAGGCCTCAGGTTTATCAGGACCCTGTGCAGGACTTGCACCAGCTCAAACCGAAGGGGCTGCAAGGGGGTCCCGGAGCCTCACTTCCCTCCCTAGCGTTCCCTCACGGGGCCCTTCTCCATCCACCCATTTGGCCCTTCAGTAAGTGGTCACGGGTCCTCTGAAGGACCACGGCCCAAGACCTGGGGGCGCTCAGCTCATCTATCCCCCTGCCTTGTGCCAGGTCCCCGTTGCAGCTGCCCAGACTCCGGGGACAGTCTTGGCCAGCACGTCAGGACAGGTCTCCCCTCCTTACCCTGCTTTGTGTCAGACCTCGGAAGCTGGTGTGACTTCCCACCCCAGCTGCCAAGTCAGAGCCAAGTAGCAGGGTCGCAGCCCAGATTTTGGTCTCCACTGTGCAAACTGTAAGGTCTTTACAGCCGGCAGCTTCGTTAACTCCTTTGCCCGGTTGCCTTCAAGTTCTGTCGGATGAAACTGCAGATCGCACAGAAAGGAAACAGAACTTAGGACGGAGAGGCAGCGTGACGCGGAGATTTACTAACAGTGCGTGGGGACCCGTATGAGCAATGCAGGCGTCCTCAGGCCAGGCTGCACAGAAAGGCCTTCTGGGAGGTTTTCACGAAGACCCATTCCTGGGGGGCCTGGGAAGCTCAGTCCGTTAAACGTCCGACTTTGGCTCAGGTCATGATCTCACGGTCCGTGAGTTCGAGCCCCGCATCGGGTTCTGTGCTAACAGCTCAGAGCCTGGAGCCTGCTTCTGATTCTGTGTCTCCCTCTCTCTCTGCCCCTCCCCACACGTGTTCTCTCTCAAAAATAAATAAACATTAAAAAGAAAAACAAACAAGAAAACCCAAAGCCTGTGCCGGGGTCTGACCCAAAATTAGTTGAATCAGAATCCTAGGCAATTCTGGTGTGCAGCCAGCGTTGGGCACCCATGGCCGGACGGTGGGAAGGATCGATGGTGGGTGGGACATTCCAGGGGGGAGGGGTCTGGGCGGGTGTTTTCCTCCCTCCTTCCCGGCTGGCCTGGATAGCCCCCACAGCCTTCCCATCTCTTTGCTTTGACCTTTCAAGGTCAGTTTAGTCCCCCAGGGATCACAGGTGACCTTCTCTGTGGCTGCTGGCGGGCTTTGACTTGCAAGGGCCAGTACTGCCCAGGAAAGCTGGAGCGTTGGGTCCGAAGGGCCGGTTCTGGAAGCCGCTGCCCAGCCCTGGGGACCCAGCCAAGGCCGCTCTCTGCATCCTGCCTTTGCTCAAGGGAACCGGGGTCCTTTAGAGCACTTTTCTCTGCAGGGGGCAGCCGCAGCCGCCTCGGGGACCCCAGCAACCATGGCTTCCTGCCCAGACTCTGACAACAGCTGGGTGCTTGCCGGCTCAGAGGTAGGACGCGGGCCTGGGAACCCCATGGAAGAGAAGTTCCTGCCGGGCCAGACTGCTTTCTGGGTCCGGCTCCGGGCACCTGCGTCACCTCCTGCAGGGGCGGGAGGCAGGAGAGCAGGCCCCGGGAGTCAGGTGTGAGGATGGACTCGGGCCCGGCAGCATCAGCTCCTGGGAGTGGGGGACCCCTGTGCCTCAGAACTTCTGAGGCAACAGCAGGAAGGCCGTTTCTGGGGAGACTGAGGAAGTGCCTGGGGTGAGATGGAGGCGTGTGTTGGCGTTGGAGCAGGGTGGGGGTCGGAGCCTGGAGCCCTGAACGGGCCTCGAGGGCCGGGCCCGGGCACGCAGGCCCCTTCCTGAGGGGGAATCACAGAACGGCCGTGAGTCCGGGGGACTTGGGACAGTCCCTGCCCGCGGGTGGGATGTGCGAGGGAGTAATTTGAATGTCCAGTGGCGCAGCTCGCAGTGGGGTCAGGAAGCCGGTGGGTTCATGTGCCCTCAAAGCTGTTGAGAAGGGAGGAGGCCGGAGAAAGCTCCTCAAGGGACCCAGGCCACGTGACTCGGGGTGTTAGAACTGCCGGGGGAGGGGTGTGAGGGCAGGGAGCTGGGGCACGACACAGGCACTGGGGCCAGAGCCCTGGCCCAGAAGGACCCTGGGCCTTCCTCCTCTCTGTTCTCCGCTATAAGAGGGGGTGGTGGTTTGTGGCTTAGAGGGGTGGCCGTGAGAAGCGAGTGGTTTGAAAACTGCCCAGAAACGGATTGAGGCACAGATCGATTCTTGGAGGGGTTGTGGGGCCTTGCTCTGGTGAGTGGGCGGCCTGTTGGGCAGGGGTGCGCAGGGAGGGGAGAGCCCAGCGGGGCCGGCGGGTTGTCGGCTGCTGGCGCCTGCGTGTGGGGCAGTGGAGCCCAGAAAAGCCTGGAAGATGCGTGTAAGGCGGGCGGCCCGTCGAGAGTGGACGGCTGCTAGGAAACCCGTGGGGAACATGGCTGTGACCTTGGGTTTGGGCGGCCGGGGGGCTCTGTTGCCTTGCTGGCCTCCCACCTTCCAGCCAATCAGCAGCTTTCATTTGTGGGGGGGCGGGAGACCCCAGCTTCAGCTGGCTTCTTTGGGAGAGTGGGCGGCACCAGGTTCCTATGTGACCTGGTGTCAGTCCAGCCGCACTTCTTCTTGGCCGGGAAACAGCCTCTGGAAGTTCCTCGCAGTGGCAGGGGCGTCAGGACAGATTAGGGGAGGGCAGGGGGCCGGGGGTTGTCAGGGGAGGCTGGGGGAGGTTAGGAAGACCAGGGACGGGAGCTGAGGCCCCCGCCGCCCACCTTGCATCAGCTCCTTCTTGTACGTAGTAGGTTTTTGTGAGATGTGGGTGGGGGTCCCCATGCGGCTGGCCCCGGGGACCCCAGCAGAGCACCCCGTGCTCCCGTAGGGGCTGCCCGTGGAGACCCTGGGCCCAGGATGCAGCACGGACCCGGAAGACGAGAGCGCTCCCCAGGCCCCTTGGAGCTGCGCCGAGGCAGCTGCTGTGGGCGGAGAAGGTGACAGGGCCCTCCGGGCGGTGGGGTGCAGCCGCCTTCCACCTTCTGGGCTCTCCTGCCCCTTCTAAGCGGGAGCCAGAGGGCTGTGTAGGAAGTTCACCGGGGGATGGTGGTGTTTTTCCCGGGCCTTTTCATCCACTACAGGGACCCCCTTCCAGAGTGAAAGCTCCCAGTGTGGTCCCATTCTGCCCGAGAAGACCGAGGCCAAGGTGAGGACTTCACTGAGTTGAGGAGGGAAGCTAGGGGCGGGGGCGGGGGTCCAGAGCTGCTCATGGCTGTGTCTGCTCAGGGTGTCCCGGAAGGTGACGGCTCCGCTACGAAGCCTCCTGGCCCGGGAGACACTCTGGTCCAGGGAGACTCGGAGGAGGCCCCTGTGGTGGCAGGCCTGGAGGATGCACGGGACCCTGAGTGCCACAGCCCCCCGCAGAGCCTGCCCTCATCTCCCAGCGCAGGTGAGAGCCCTTCTTGTCTCTGTTTTCCCTCTCCTTCTGGAAGGCATGAGGGGCAAGGTGTCAGTGTGACCAAGGTCACAAAGCTGGTGATTGGCGGGGCCCCGGTCTGCTTGACTCTTCCCCTGTGCCACGGACCCCTTTTCTCGCTTCTAGATGCTCCCTGAGCCTCTTTCCTACATCAGCTCTGGGCCCGGGAGGGAGGGCGGGTGGTGCGTGGCCTGCGTGAGAGGCAGAGTGGTCTGAGCCAAAATGCAAGTTAGACCAAGAGCTTGGGAAAAGGAGGTGGGATTACAGTGCTCCCTCCAGAGGGGAGGGCGGTTCGGAGGTTCAGCCGGGGACAGGTGCAGGGAGGGGAGGGAGAGACGGGCACGGTCGGGGAAGGTTCACGTTGGAGGGGGTGTTGAGCGGAGGCTCGAACGGAGTAGGCTCCGGGCCAGTAGGGTGGGAAGAAGAGAAGAGGTTGCAGGCCCGGCTGTGCCATCAGCAGAGGGACCCCCCTCCCCGGGCTGTGCTAAGGAGGCTGTGCCCGCGGCTTGTGGCTAAGGGGCCCACGAATCCGCCTCTGCCCAAGAGGGAGACGAGGGACGGGGTGGAGGGAGAGGCCGAGGCCTGGGGCCATTCGGGGCACAAGGGAGGAGGTGCTCACGCAAAGCTGGAGGTGGGCAGACACGCGGCGGGTGTGGGGGGGTGGCCCCGGGGAGGACTTAGGTGGCCGGGTGGTAGCAGTGGGGTTGTTCTCTGAATGGGGTGGGGGGTGCGCCAGTGTGGCGGGCGGGGTGCCGCGGGCAGGGGACACCCCGCGAGGGCACTGGGGGACGGTGGGCGGTCCTGGCTCTGGGGAGGCCGGGTCGGGGTCTGTGGACTGGGCCTCGTCTGCTGTGGGGGACAGTCCATGGTGGGGGTGGCCGCGCAGGGAGACGGCCGGGCCCCTCAGGACCCTCGCCTTGAGGACCAGGGAGGGCCGGGGGGCCTGCGAGGCAGCGCCCGGGGGGCCCAGGAGCTGCGGAGGGAGCTGGTGGAGGCATGTGTGGAGGGGGTGCTTTTAGGGAGGAGCTGCCCCCTGAGTTTGCAGGGTCCCCGTCGAGGTCTCCGTCTGTGGTCGCCTCACCGCCTTGTGTCCGCCCTTCTCCAGCCTGGCCCGCCGAGGAGGCCCGCCGCTCCAGCAGCGAGGACGACACGGACGTGGACGTGGACGTGGACGTGGGGGGGCTGCGGAGGCGGCGGGGCCGGGAGCCCAGCACCCCTCTGCCCACGGCGGCCCTGGGCGTGGAGGGCCAGGCCCGTGGCGAGGGTGCGGGCGGGGAGCTCGGCATCTCCCTCAACAAGTGTCTCGTCTGGGCCCTGGCTCTGCTGGGCCTGGGAAGCCTCCTCCTCCTCTCCGGTGAGCGGCACCTCCCTGCCGAGGCCCCGCGGCCCCCCCCCCCCCCCCCCCCCCGCCCTGGCCTCACCAAGCCCCTCTGTCTCCTTCCTCAGGTGGCCTCCCAGAGTCTGACAGTGGTGAGTTCGGAGGGGCCCCGGCTGGTGCCTGCGCCGCCTGAGGGAGGCCCCTGGGGGCGCTTCTCTGCCCCAGAAGTAGGGCCGCTGGGCTGTGCGGTTACTACCTTTCCAGCTGTTCAGGGTGACCCGTAGGGCAGGCAGGGCAGGAGGGTGACCGTGTGTGTGCAGGGGTGAGGGGTGGGGGGGCCGGATTCGGGACTTCGCTTTCCCGCAGGGCCTGCGGAGGAAGCACAGCTGCAGGTCTTCCCGGACGCGGTCCTGGACGTGGAGGTGCCGGACGCCGTGCAGGGCGCGCGTGGGGAGGGTGGGGGCAGCCTGGCTGTGGGACGGGGGGTCACTGGCCCCTGTGCCCCTAGGATGGGCTGGGGCAGGGGCTGCAGGCGTCAGCGCCCCCTGACGGCGTGCCCGGCCTGCAGAACATGGCCCTTCTGCTGGACAAGCTTGCCAGGGAGAACCAGGACATCCGGCTGCTGCAGGCGCAGCTCCAGGTGGGCACGCGGGGGTGTCTGCCCTTGTGGCCCCAGGGAAGTCGCCTCTGCTTGCCTCCTGCCTCCGTCCCCTCCAGCCCCTGGAGTTAGGTCGTCTTCCCGGTTCTCTGTTCACACCCCTCCCGCCAGGCCCAGGCGCGGCTGGCGTGCCTGCTGCCCCCC